ATTATGGATGAAGGAGTTGATTAATGATCTTGCTTTGAGCAACCAAGGTACATATTATTTTGGGATAATCAGGGTGCTATCTGTCTCACCAAGCACTCCAAATTTTATTCTAAGACCTAACATATAAATAAAAGTATAATTGGATAAGAATTACCGTGCAAGAAAAATTATTTGAGGTTGAGATGAAATATACTGATGACAACCCTTTGGGTATGCTGACAAAGGTGGTGGCTGCAGATAAGCACGCATTTTGTAGAAAATTGGTAGGCATAAAGCCTGTCAATAGTTTCTCTACTAGAAGACATATTTGGCCCCTTGGCTGGAGGGGGAGTTTGTTGGGCCATGCCCATGTTGTCCAGCCAAAGGACCAATGACCTAATTCTATTCTCTTTTGGTTTTCATTCCTATTCAGAATTGGATTTGATTTTTATTCCTATTTGGAGTTGGTTTTGACTTTAAGAGAAAGCACCACTCATTATCTATAAATAGAGCAACCTTAGACAATTGCTCTATGCTCATTGGTATAAGTCTTTGAAAGCACATAAGAGTGATTTTTGGGAAAGCTTTCATCTAGAGAAAAGAGAGAAGCAAAAGTGTTTGTTTTGCTGCATATTTTTGTATCGACTAGCTAATTTCAAATCATATTTTCCGATTCGTTCACCGTTGGATTGGGCTGAAATTTTAATTTGGCATTCTTAACATCTTTCTCTTTGATTTGAATGGTTAAGATCCTCATTTAATTTTGCATGATACCTGATTAAATTTCGCATGATACCTGATTATTTCGATCCTAATAGATTCATCATCTATTATCTAACAATAGTGTTTATGACTTTTATTTCCTAGTTCACTTTGAGGAACACCTAAGAAAACATCACGCTTTAGAAAATTTTGCAGTGACACTGATACAATGCTAAAATTTAAATATTTTTTCGTTTTATATATGCACCAATTTTGCAAACTGGTCTTTTATGCCCAAGTGTATAACAAGAAATTACGCCTCATTGACCTTTCTAGAACCACCTTTTATATTTTAAACATGTCGGATTTTTTGGTAAAATATCTCCGAGCCAAAATTTTGAACCACAGTGATAGAATTTTTTAGTCTTGATAGCGTGCTTTAAAATTCTGGCAGCATGCTTCAAAAATTTGGTAGCATGCTTCAAAATTAAAGCAGTGTGCTTTAAAATTTTGGCAACATACTTTAAAATTCTAGCATTGTACTTTAATCTAACATCATACTTTAAAATTCTAGCAGCGTACTTTAGAATTCTGACAATAGTGTTTTTTTTCTTCAAAAATTTCATTAACGGGATCAAAATGAAAATGGTGACACTAAATAATCCTATTTGTGCAAATCTCCCAATGTATAAAGTCTAAAAGTTGAAACAACTGTAAGCTATTTTTTGAGAAAATAATAAATCATATTAGATTTTTATAGGACTTCCATGCTATACATAATTTGTAAATAATAATTGCTGAATTCTGATGTGCAATATTTCTAATATTGTTTATAAATTCTAAAGATACTACATGCTATGCATTCAGATTAAAACGAATATGTAGGTTTTCCCGAAAATATTGGTATGTGGGTAAAATTCTATTCTAGCAGATTCCATAACAGAAAGAAAGAAGAAGAACAAACCTAAAGAGTATAAGTTTATCCCATTGCTTAAACTAAATATAATAGTAGATATAATTTGTGCATAATATATGCATAATCATATATAATCAGTATATAATTTATATATACCGCCTAGCAAAGGTAGACAATATATTCGGCCGATGAACAATAAGTATATGTAGAATGTCACAGACACCATATTTATTTAAACCGAACAAAAAATTACCTAAATATGATACTTTTTGGGGGTGGTTTTTAATTTTTGACTCCCACTTGCTCCATGGGCAAAACTTCTGGGTTATTGCCTATGGCAACCGAGGAGAAACACTTGTTCAATTTGACATTCTGCACCTGAATGAAGGAGGGACAAAAACTTGAGATTATCCACTATTCGTGTACTTCACCCTAAACCAAACGGCTTCATCAGCATGTGATGATATTGGGAGCTCAGGTGCCAAAATGAAGAGGCATTGTGAAACAAATACGTTAAAATAACACGATATAGCCAGTTTTTTGACTGGTCATTCAAAAATAGCCACCGTTTACGAAGTCAATAAAAAATAGCCATTATTTTGCTGCAACAGAGACTAGTTCCGCATAATATACGAGAGTTCGGTACATCTGTATACGAACTCCAGCATATTATACTGGACCAGTATACTTTGCTGACTCCTATATAATATACGGGAGACTGGAGCATCGGTGCTCCAAACTCCAGTATATTATACTGGACATTTATACTTGCTGGAACTCCCGTATATTATGTTGGAGTTCTAGTGTACTTATGCTGAAACTCCAACATATTATGCTGGAGTTCCAGCATAGTTATCCTGGAACTCCCGTATAATATGTTGGAGTTCTAGTGTACTTATGCTGGAACTCCAACATATTATGCTGGAGTTCCAGCATAGTTATCCTGGAACTCCCGTATAATATGCTGGAGTTCAATCATACTTATGCTGAAACTCCAGTATAATATAGAGACGTATTTTTCGGGTTTTGAACAGTGTTTTCGCTCAGATTTATCTTTACATGAAAAGTGGCTAAATTTCGATTACTTTTAAAACTGTGGCTATTTTTGAATGACCAGTTGTAAATCTGGCTATTTTAAATTTCTCCCAACAAATACGGATGTAAACGGTCCTGCTTCTGAATACTCGGAGCCTAAAGTAAACATCAAGCCCAGGAGGCCAGGCCCAATATTAGTTCATGAATCCGTCGGAGCAGAAGAATGAGAGGTAAATGATCAAAAAGACAATAACAAGCAGGAGTTCAAATCTTCACAGGCAATCATCACTATGGAGCAAATGCAAAGATCTCCAATACCTAAAGCAAATCCACGCTTTGATGATCATCAGTGGTTTCAACTCCAATCGCTTTGCTCTCAGGGAGCTCATTTATGCTTCTTCCGTTACCTTTTCAGCATCTATTCACTATGCCCACAAACTGTTTGCTCAAATTACTCAACCAGACCTCTTCATGTGGAACACCATGCTCAGAGGCTCAGCTCAGAGTCTCAGGCCTTCACTTGCCCTTTCCCTTTATGCCCAGATGGAAAAACGTTACATACGTCCCGATAGTTATACTTTTCCGTTTGTACTCAAGGCATGTACCAAGCTTTCTTGGCTTGTTTCTGGCCTTACCATTCATGGGAAAATTGTGAAACATGGATTTGAATCTAATAAATTTGCGAGGAATACCCTCATATATTTTCACGCTAATGTTGGAGATATAAGAATTGCAGGGCAACTTTTTGATGGTTCTGCTAAAAGGGATGTTGTTGCTTGGTCTGCTTTGACTGCTGGTTATGCGAGGAGAGGTGAATTAGATGTGGCATGGAGGCTGTTTGATGATATGCCGGTTAAAGACTTGGTTTCCTGGAATGTGATGATCACGGGGTATGTGAAGCAAGGGAAAATGGAAAATGCAAGGGAGTTGTTTAATATGGTGCCAAAGCGGGATGTTGTAACTTGGAATGCGATGCTTTCTGGATATCTTATTTGTGGAGAAAATGAGAACGCGTTAAAAATGTATGCAGAGATGAGAAGTGCAGGGGAACACCCTGACAAGGTTACCATGTTACACCTGTTATCCGCTTGCACGGATTCAGCATTCTTGGATGTTGGCGAGCAGATACATCAATCTATTATCGAGATGGGTGCAGGCGAGTTAAGTATATTTCTTGGTAATGCACTTGTAGACATGTATGCTAGGTGTGGCAGCATCAGCAAAGCACTTGAAGTTTTTCAAGGCATGAGAGAAAAGGATGTATCGTCTTGGAACATAATTATTCTAGGATTAGCTTTCCATGGTCATTCTGAAGAATGTATTTCTCTTTTTGAAGATATGAGGAGAATGAAGTATATTCCTAATGAAATTACTTTTGTGGGGGTATTAGTTGCTTGTAGTCATGCAGGAAAAGTTGATGAGGGCAGAGGATATTTCAACATGATGAGAGCTGAGTACAATATTGAGCCGAACATAAGGCACTATGGGTGTATGGTGGATGTGCTAGCACGTGCAGGACTACTGCATGAAGCGTTTGATTTCATTAACACGATGGAGATTGAACCTAATGCTATTATATGGAGAACTCTGCTAGGAGCTTGTAAAGTTCATTCCAATGTCGAGCTGGGAAGGTATGCTAATGAGCAACTGCTTAAATTGGGAAGGGAAGACAGTGGTGATTATGTCTTGCTGTCAAACATCTATGCTTCAAGAGATGAATGGGATGGTGTTGAAAGGGTGAGGAAGTTGATGGATGATAATGGGGTTTGGAAAGAACCTGGTTGTACTCTAATCGAGGCTGATGACACTCTCAAGAATTTTTTGTTTGATTCAAAGCTTATGCACTCTTAGAAATAAAATTGGCTGGTCAGAGATTGGGAGAGCTCCATGTGTGATCCGCGACCAATCTTAATCCCCCTTTCTTAAACTTCCGCGTGAAGGTCCATCCTCATTCCAAAGACGACACCTTTGATCCAATTCTTCCTCCTCTACGCATCATAGACCACTGTAGTGCACGAGACATGGAAATTTCAATTCTGCTGTTTTATCAGTAGTCCATTGATGTTATTGCATTGATCATTTAAGACATTTTTGTAGTTCTTTGATTGGTGCTTACACTATTACTATTTTTTTAAGGATGTGTTTGGGGTGTCAGGTAGTTTAGGAGTTGAAATAACTTTATTGCTTGATATGGTCCTAACTCCTAAGCTTCTTACAGAAAATTGATCTACATGGATTTTCAGAAAGACAGTCTTCATTCTTAGCTGACAGTATTATTAGTCCAGGATTTCTAGTGCTAAAAGATAATTATTTCATGATTCCCAGTGCTACTCTAAATATCAATTTTATTAAATGAGAGGAAGAATCACTAAAACAAACAGATGTAATAACAGCTTGTAAGAATTAAGATGAGAAAATAACTCAAAAAATCGAATTTTTTTCGAATGTAAACACACAGTATTAAAAACAAAACAACAGGAAAACGTTCTTTCTTCCTGCATGAAGTGATCATTATAGGACGAAATCAGTTTCTTGAAAGGGCCAGAGCAGACAATATAATCAGCAGCACAAACACAAGAACTCCAATAAACGATCCAACCAAAGAGCCAGAGGCACGATCGCAGAATGAGTTATACTGCTGACATATAGCAATCCAATTTGCACGTTCATTTCCCTTGTGTGCCAAATATACTATGGCTGCTGCTGCTGATGCTCCAGATGTCAAAAATGCCATCATCACCTGATTTTAATTATCAGCTCAGAAATTATTGTATGTAAAGATAATTAAAATTTGAAGTTGCTAATTTGAAGGGAGCGTTGGCGTAACTGGTAAAGTTACTGCCATGTGACCAGGAGGTCATGAGATCGAGCCGTAGAAACAGCCTCTTGCAGAAATGCAAGGTAAGACTACATATGAATACGATAGACCCTTGTGTCCGGCCCTTCCCCGAACCCGCACATAGCTAATTAATTCAAGAATTTACCGTATCAAAGAAGATCAAAACCACCCTGGTTATTCTTGCACCACTCATGACAATGTGTAAGATGGATAGGACAAGAGATACAGCCAAATATGCGCTAACGATGCCATTCGCTACCACAAAGAACCTATGAGTTTTCACAAATTTTACGTCAACGAGTGCAAAATAAAAACATTTACATAATTACATCATAATGTCACTTATAAGCTAATTATTTAAATTTCCATGATAAAAATTAATTTGTAACGTGATAAAAATGGCAATTAATTTACTATTACAGTTTAAAATTTACGTATAGTGTAGAAAATCAATGTTTATAAGGCAACTTACTATAACGGTTAAATTATACAGATTGTGTAAAAATCTTTATATTGCAATATGTATAAAATAGAATAATAATATATTTATCTTACGTGAAAGTGGGAAGGTCCTTGTACTCAGCCTTAAACTTGATGAATTCAGTGAAGGAGGGAAGGGTATCATTAGTTTTCCCCATGGCAATTGCACTTCCCAAGGTACCTACAATGGCAAATATTCTCATAATAAAATCAAGAAATGAAATTCCTCTGTTCCCTTTGGGCTCTGTCTTTGAATCTTTTGTGTCCTCTCCAGCTTCAACACCACCCATCTTCTCCTCAATTTACTATCTAGTAGAAAGTAATAAAGAATTAATTTGAAGGGTTTCTAATTAATTTCGATAGCTTATCAACTTCTGTTATGCATGGTACACATAGAACAATAGTAGCATGTTATTTATACTAGGAAAAATGCTGTTAGTCTCAAATTGTACAATCAAGAATCCACTATGTAAGTTTTTAAAAAAAAAAACAAATAAAGTCAAAAGTGGAACGGTTGGTCTTGATAATCCTACTTTCTTGGTAGTCTCATGCATTGCCAATTTGAACTTGAAAATGTGCCAACTTAATTTGGTCCAAAAGATGTATATTTCGAACATTTTGTCACGGATGCTACTACAAAAATTGTTATTCAACCCATTGACTCCTTGGGTTTTAGATTCTCATTTCTTTATGTAAAAAATGAGCTGTATTTTCTTTTTAATATTTTTGGTGTAAGGATATTTGGTAAATAACTCTTCGCATTTTTAGATTCTCATTTCTTTATGTAAAAACGAGTGGTATTTAGATTCTCGATTCTCTCTTCCTATTTTAATTGTGCACTAAAGATGGGGCAAGGAGAAGGTTATGTTTTAGAAATGCTTAACATATCAAGTGAGAATAGGAGAAGATGCATTGGGCATTAGCTGATAAATAAGCACTGAGATAATAGTCAATTTCCAATGGGACAATGTTGTATCGAGTTTAAATTTTAAAAGGATAACAAAAGTTAGTTAGTTAAGGGTTTTTGACTATCTTGCTCAAGATGCGTTAAGTGCTAAAACATGCGAAGAACTTGATTAAATCGAAGTGAGATTGTACCTGCATCTTTGGAAAACAAGTAGTAGTAATACTATTTAATTGCGGTTATGCCCTATTTCCGGCGGATTGCAGTCTTAAGCACCAACACTAACAAATTCTTAACACGTCTATTTATAGGATTGAAAGAAATTTAGTTTATATCACCTTAAACTATTGTCATTCTGTCAAAGCTTCATTGACTACAAAAAAGTGGATATTTCCTTTCTTTTTTTGTTGTTGAGAAATTGGAATACTTATTATTAATACTAAGAACTAGTCACATTAAAAGTACAAGAGGGGGAGGGGGGTGAATTGTTTATTTTTAAACTTAATTGCTGTTAGTTGACTAGTTTTTCAATTAATCGACTAGATGTAATAAACTGACAGTAGTAATAACAGAATATAAGATGCTGAAATTAAATGCAGGAATTAAAGACACCAGAATTTTTATACTAGTTCGGATTCAATGTGAATCCTAGTCTAGTCCCCTTAGGTTGCAAGGGAGTTCTCTTTAGTCAATGAGTTTCTTCAAGGAAAATGATGTGATAGCTCAGTTCCTATATCACTCGTCTCTTTTGATACAATGCCTCACCAGTGTTGTTCTCTCTATCTTCTCTAACTTGTTACACAACAGGTCTTAGAGAGCTACAATGTTTGTTTGCAGTAGAACAAAGAGAGGGTGTTTGACTTGATCAAAGTATATTTTGATAAGGTGTGATTACAGGTTTAAATACTTTGAGAGAGGCTTGAATTCTGGAAAGATTTGCCAACCCAAAAGATTTGATCCTTGAAAAGAGATTGATTCTTTTCAAGAATAAAACTATTCTGCAACGGCTCTTTTGAACCCGAAATCTTGATCCTCCATAATTAGACACTTGATTAAATATTCAGCGAGATCTTGATTTATTTGATTCCTTTAGTTTAGCCTTGATTGATCCCGACAGTATCTTCTGATTGATGTCTTCTTCCTTTAATCGCATCTCTTGATCTTGTCAGTATCTTCTGATCTATTCCGCCAATCTTGTATATCAATCCATACGTTCTTTGATCATTGCAGATTGATTTCACCAATCTTGATAGCTATCCAAGAGTTCATATACAAAGAGCAAATATATTATTTTCATCATTAAAATTAGATCTAACAATCTCCCTTTTTTTATGATGACAAAATAATATATGTATAAACATCAGTTGACTTCCCTGTAGTTTGCTCCCCGTCAATAGGAGCAGTAAGTAGCTTGAGGCACATGTAGTCGACACATCAGTTGACTTCCCTGTAGTTTGCTCCCCCTCAATAGGAGCAGTAATTAGCGCATGTAGTCGACTTCTTCAGGATCTGTGACTCCCCCTCAAAGGGTGCCATAGTCGGCTTGTTCTGTACCTGCACAAAATACATATATCCTTTCTCCCCCTTTTTAACATCAGCAAAGAGGGAATAACTAAACGGCATGCATAAATAGAATCCATAGCAGAATGTACTGGTAGAGTGAGAACATAACAAAAGAAAGAAAAAAAATTATCCACCGACTGATATCTCAGTCCAAAAATAGCACAACAAAGAAATATTATCTTAAAATTCCACACTAACGACGCAGAAAATAGGTAAGAGTGTTGCAGATGGTCTCCTTTAGTTGATCAAAGCTGGCGTTGGCTGAGACACCCATTCCGTCAAGCTTGTCATAAACCTCCTTGAAAGCCTTGACAGCGTTTTCCCTTACTTTGAGAATTGCAACTCGTATCTTGGAGACATCAGACCCTGTTTTCTTGGAGATAGCATGAATGGTACCAATAGTGGACTAGGTGGCAATGAGAAGATCCTTGATCGCAGAGAGCTGATTGCCAATGGCGCTAATTTTCTCAGCAAGGTCAGAGTCACTAAGTGTCACGCCCCAAAAACCGAGGAGCGCGACCGACGCTCAACTGAGTAAACCCGACTGAACAAGACTGTTAGATTTCATTCTACCTAAACTAATTCATGAATAAAGAGGAGATGGACTCCATTAATCATACTTCATAAATATATCATTAACGACTTCAATTTCATTTCCATTAGCAACTTCGTTCATAATTTTTAAAATATTACAAGTTTTATACATCTTTGCCAAATATCAATATTTCTAATTCAATTCCCCATTATCAAACTCCACCCACAACCTGTCTACGGAGCCTCTAGATATAACTGAAGAATAATATGAAAATGCCAGCAACAAGGCTCCGGCTATACCTCAAAATACAAAGTACATGATAAACAACGATACAGGACCCCGAAATGAAGTGGAGCTCACCAAGTCAGCTGAAAGGAAGATGCGTCACTAGCTGCGACCAACACTGCCTGCTATGGAACCACCTACATCCATTTAAAGATGTAGCGTCCTCGGCAAAAGGACGTTAGTGCTGTCGAATATCACTAGTATGTATAACTAAACACCATCTCATTAGAAAGAATAACCATACAAGAACAAATAAATCATAAAGATTCAACAAAAGCTTTAAACAATCACTACATCATCAAATAAAAGGAATCACATCTCTTTCACATAATTTTCATAGCTTTAGGTTGGGACATTTCATACTGTTGCACCATCATTCACAATACCACTGCCTTCTTGTGCGGAGTCCGATCACGACCCGATCAGCTAGGTTGCCTCATTTGAGACATTTAGCTCAGTCATAATTTCATACTTTCTGATTTCAATATCGTACAATACCACCATGTGTGTGGCATGACATCCGATCACGGCCCGATCAGCTAGGCCGTCTTACCAAGACATTTTTCCTTTTCCATATATCATATCATTTCAATCTTTACTTCACATATATCAGTTTATCGGCACTTGGGGCCACAATTATCACATCATATTTGGCACTAGGCCGCATTTCATAATTCGAGCTCTTTTCCCCCACATTTCACATCAATATCAATTTCAACAACAAGCCATTCAATCCAAGATGTCATGTACACATGAGAGGAATCATGAATCATAGACATATACAATATTTTAGAAATCATACACCTCAAGTTCATTAGCAATGGGAACTTTAAACACAAAGGATTCTTCCAAAAAGGAGGGAACACACCAAACCACAATAGAAACACACATCAAATTCATAAACAAGCAATTACACCAATTATTCTTGAATTACTCTTTTCCAAATATGACAATATACAATTTCAACATCGAAGAATGTAATAACTCGGATCACATTGGATGTACCTATAAGGCAAAACATTATCTCGAACAACCATTTATGGGCATAAATTGTGTACAAAGCCTTTAGGACACTTTATTATTGAAGTCGTTTATGGAAAGTAGAGTCAAGACTCATTTCATAATATGTTTCATATTTTCTCATGTCATAGGCATCACCAGGCACAATTATAGATCAAGTTCTCGGCATGTTGGCCACACTCTATTTCCCAAATTCATTTGATTTATTTCAAACATCTTTATACATGAGGATTTCACATAGTTTGGCATAACAATCTCAATTTAAACTTGACTTGAAATCTAGGCATTTTAGCACATAGTTCACATTCTTCACATATCTTCAATTTACCAAGAATAGCATATTGAACATATTGAGATACACCTTTCATATATATTCTTGCAACACCAATTCCTCTGAAATTACAAGTACTACATCAATCAAATTTCAGACTTACAATATTTGCATGGACACCGTGGGAGCTCAATTCTAAGAAGAGGGGGTTTTAGCCTTACATACCTTGTTTAAGCTTTTCTTAAGTTACTACAACGTTACGGAAATTCTAGCAATCCCAATCTCTTAGATGAAGATCTTATGATTGGTTTCCTTGATTCTTGAAGAGTGATGAAAGATTGAATGGTTAGAATGTTAGGCTTCTCTCTCTAAAATTCTCTTAACTCTCTCTAAAATCATCTAAATATCGCCCCAAATGAAACCCCAAAGCCTATATATTAAAATGGGGTCGGGTCATGAAAATAGCAAAATTAACCCTCCGAACCCGGGTCTACGATCGCATAATGGACCGCACAATTGGTATGCGGGTCGCATAATGCACCGCAAAATTGGTGCCCAGAATTGGGCTACACTGGCCCATTTTGGGACCATTTTTGCGGTTGCAGATCTATTATGCGGACCGCATAATGGTTTTGCGATTGCAGAATCTACCATGGGATCGCATTTTGCTAGCCTTTGGTAATTTGATCATAACTTTGTGTAGGAATGTCCAAATGACGAACGGTTTAAAGCGTTAGAAACTAGACTCAAAGACCTTTCATTTGATAGGTTCATCACATAAAATTATATATAT